CCAGCAGAGCCGCCAGTGGCACACTGCCAACACAGGGCCATGGTCCCTGCTCCTCGGCATGGCCCCATAGCTTGCGCCAGGTCTGGGGTCCCTGTGCCAGGAGACCCTGGGTGCTGTGCGGGGCTGAACTGCCAGGGATGGTCCACACTGAGTCTCTGCAGTCTGTCCCTTCCAGGGCTGTGGGGTCATGGCTGAGCCCAAGGGATGCAGCTGTACTTACGGCTGTGCAGGAATCATGGAATCACAGAATCATACAGGTTGGAAAAGACCTCTAAGCTCATGAGTCCAACCTGAAACTGAGCCAGATCCTTGCCTTGCCCAGCCCTTCCCACTGGCACCCCTTGGCAGTGCCCCAGGGGGGCAAGGAACATGGCAGCCTCCACCGCAACCAGGAGGATGCTCTGCTGATGTGTTAGCACCTGCCCCTCAGCCAATGCAGCCCCAGCAGAGACCAAGCGGCCAGGCTCACCCCAAAAGGGGCTAAAGGCTCTAGATTTGGGAGATGCCATTCCCACGCTTCACCCAGGCATTGCTGCCTACACAGGGAGCTGCCTAACTCCTGTCCCGCTGGCTCCTGCCAGCACCAGGCACTGCCTGCCCCCAAGCATGGCTGAGCCTGGCTGTGCTACTGCCCTCTCACATGCACAAGGAGCCCCATGCCCAGCTCAGCCCCAGGAGCACCGTCAGGGCAGGACCCCAGGCAGCAGAGCACAGCACAGCCTGCCCAGCACACCCAGACTGGCCCTTGTCACACCTCTAAGCCAGCCTCCCCCTGCCTCGGGGTGCTGCCCTGTCTCCCCATGGTGCACTGTTCCCACTCCCCTGCACAAGAGCCACAAACCACATGGAGACCAAGGTCTTTGGAAACAGCCTCGTGTTTCCTATGAGCTTCAGGCGAGCTCAGTCTCTAGTCCACAGCACCTTCCTGGGTAGCTGCTCAACCCCACCAGGCTCCTGGCAGCCCTGCCAGTTGAGGGGAGCCGAACACAGGTCCCTGGGTGGGCACACTCCTGGGCAGCTTGTGAACACAGCAGGGCAGTGGTGCCCATCACACCAGCAAGCGGCAGAGCCTGGCCTGCTGCCCCTGCTAGCCATGCTCAGATCCGGGCAGTGCCTGGCCCGGCCAGCACCGCACACGGCAGCCTCCACCCGGCCCTGCCGCAGCAGTTCATTCCAAAACCTATCTGAGAACATGGGACTAATAAATTAGAAGGCCACAGCAGCCTCTGCCAGTCCAGCACCTCCTGCCCATGCCCGCCACAGTGCTGCTGGCCCTGCTCTCCTGCTGTGCTGGTGCTGCCCCGCACTTCACTCCTCCCCTGCTCCAGACACTATCCCAGGCGGATGCGGAATGTGGCAATTTCCATGGGGTCCAGGTGGATGTTGGTGCTGTTGGAGGCCATGCCCAGTGGGTACATCAGCGTCAGTGAGGTGGGCTGCAGGGAGCCCAGCTCCAGCCCCTGGAACAGGCTGCCCAGGGCTAGCTGGGGAGAGAGAAGGGAGAACGGGAGAGGCCCGAGTGAGGACGTGGTGTCCAGGGCAGATTGTGCATGACATGTGCCATGCCTGCCATGACAAGGTCCCAGCCTGGCTCTGACCCAGTGGGAGGTGTGGAGGCAGCCCAGCCCTACCTTGCCCTGGCTGGTGGTGCAGTTGAAGCCGAGGTTCTTGGCCTCCAGGCTGCAGTCAAAGCCTTTGCGGTGCAGGATCAACGCTGCCTCAGCTGAAGGTAGTGAGTCATCCTGGGGGGAGCCAGGGCATGACACACCACACTGGGGACAGTGGGGGTGAGAACCCCAGAGTCCCACTGCCCCGGGCCATAGCTCACCTCTGCCTGCAGCGTCCGCAGGTTGAGGACGTGGAAGTCACAGGGGAGGGTGGCAGCAAGGGGGACAAAGGAGCGCAGGGCTGGCAGGTGCGGCTTCTCCAGTGCCACTGGCATGACCAGGGTCTCAGCGTTCAGGTGCATGGAGGTGATGTGGCTCAGCAGGGAGGGGAAGCTGATGGGGCGCTCATCTTGCACCTGCCGAGGAGCGCACGTATCAGCACAGGCCTGGGGAGCAGCAGGGCCAGACAGAACCTGGGCAGGGCCCACAGAACCCCCCACTCCAGCAGCACTCTGAGATCAGGCACCTGCCAGCACAGGGCACCAAGCTGCCCCTGGCCAGGCGGGACCCCTCTCCCCAGCACCCAAACAGGACCCCAGCTAGGCTGATGGTCACACTACACATCTGCTATGGGCCTGGCTAGGCTATAGTGGCTTTTTTTTTGGAGAGACAGCAGGGCCAGGCCGGCCGTTACCTCAGGGCTGCCAGTCCTGGTGCCGGGGAAGCCCAAGGCTTTAAACATGGAGACCAGTTTGGAAAAGAAGCCAGAGCTCTGAATGGGTGACATGGCACATGGAGAGGGCAGTGAGGGGATGGGACAAGAACACTGTGATTATGAGGGCAATGCAGCTCCGCAGGGACAGACCCCACTGTAAGTCCCACCCTCCCTGTGCCCCCTGCTCCAGGCCCATCCCTGCCCAGTGCAGGCACAATGAGACAGGAGGGGAGGCCCCTGCATCCCATCACAAACATGTATGCTTCCACCCTGCTCCATCCCACGGCAGGGCTGAGTTTGCCTGTCCTGCAGCCTCATAGCTTGGGCACCTTGTTGGCGGTGGCACGGCGCTCCAGGAGGAGCCGGAAGCGGTTGCAGGTTCGCTTGTTGTCCTTCAGTCCCTGGCCCAGGCCTCGGTTGTCATCCTGCATGAGGCGCCGGTCCAGGATCACCTCCAGCTGACCTGTGGAGAGCAGGTCCCCATGGGCCAGGCTTCAAGAGCCAGCTGCCCTCCATGGCACAGAGCCCCCAGAGACAGCAGGACCAGGGCATCCTGTGCCCAGCCTGCAGCACCCTCCTCCCTGCATCCCCTGGGAAAAGCAGCCCTGACTCCACCATAGCCCCCTGGCCCTGGCTCACCACTGCTGAGGCTGGAGACCCCCAGGGCCTGGGCTGTGAGCAGTGTCAGGCGGCTCTGCATGTCCTGGATATAGGCCATGGTAGGCATGGGGTAGAAGTTGGCCTGCAGCGGCAGCTTCTGCTGGTACCTGCGGGGCTGGATCTGCCGAGGGACAGAGGTCAGTGGCTGGAGATGGCTCCCACAGTGCCCAGTGCCAGGGCACTTCCCCCCACAGAGAGCTGCTGCCCCTCCCCAGGCTGCCGCATACCTGGAAACCATTGAGGTCCGTGAAGAAGGTGTCCTCACTCTCGATGTCGGTTCTGAAGCGCAGCGACAGCTCCTTGTTGATGTGGTCACGAATGTCCACCAGGCAGGACACATCCAGGGACAAGCCCTCAACCCCTGTGGGCAGGTGGTGAGGGGCTGAGCCCCATGGACAGCATTGCCCAGAGCCCCCAGGCCAGCAACCCCCCAGCACAGCCTCCCGGTCTCACCTGGCACGTTGTACAGCCGCACCACAGTCTGGATGTGCTGGTAGTAGCTGGCAACCTCTGAGAAGAGGGGTCCCTCTGTCACCCTCACCACTGGGGGGTCCTTGGGGGCATAGGGCTGGCGGGAAGGAGAGTTGCACTGAGGCTGCTGCCTGAGGACAGTTCCACAGGCAAAACGGCCAGCTGGCTCGCAGGAGCAGTCCTGTACCTTGGCCTCGCTGTCAGGTAGGAAGAGATAGGCTCCACTTTTGTCCTTGGAGGTCCTGGTGCCATAGACAAGGAACTCACTGCTCACCCTGTGCAGCTGCTCCTCCCCAGCTCGGCGCAGGCTCTGTAGGTACAAGGCCAGGACAGCAGTGAGCACATGAGGCAGCACAGCATTCCCCTCCCCTCCTCTACCCCACAGCCCCATCAGAGCCCGGCTCTCACCTGCAGCATGCCCGAGTGCCCTGAGAAGCAGGCCTGCAGGTGCTGGTTCTCCAGGCAGAAGTCATCAGTGACAGCTGGGAAGACGTGCAGGGGCACAGCCTGGGGCTTGCGCACGGGCAGGTCACGGCCGTGCAGGTACAGGCGTGTGGAGGACCTCACCACGGTGTGGCCATCAAAGGACCTGTGCAGTTGCAGCACACGCAGCCCCAGAGCAGGCAGGCGGGCCAGGACAGACACCTGTGGGCAGCACAGGGACATGAGCCATCCCCTGGAGCATGGGGCCTGGCTGGGGTTTGGTGGAGCAACGACCCCAGTCAGCACTGCTGGGCCTCTGCTGAGGAGGGATGTACATGGGGGCCCAGGGGTTCACAAGCTGTGGAAGCTTGTGTTGTGGTGCAGGGACAGAGCAGGGCTGATGGCACACATGGGCTGTGCAGGCTAAGGATGGGACAGGCAGTGGCTCTGGTGCACCCCATACCTGGTAGACATCAGGCACCACATCAGTGGCAGAGCTCCAGGTCACACTGAGCTGCGAGGGCAGGGGCTGCCCCTCCTCGGACAGCACACGCACGTGTGGGGAGTCCACCAGCACCGGCACCACGCTGAGGCGCTCCTGCTCCAATGGGTTGAACAGCACCAGGAAACTGCAGGGGGTCACACAGGGATGGCATCCCAAACCAGGTGTCCCATGCCTCAGTCCACCCACTGGTCCCATGCATGCACCCATGGATTCACAGCATCCCAGTACACCCTCAGTGCCTCCCCACAACCCCCAGAACAAGGCAGGAGGCCCTACCGGGGCAAAGTGTCCAGTTTGACCACTGTCCTCTCTGGAAGGGAGTCTTGGCTGGGACGCATGTCATCCTGGGGACAGGAGCAGTCAGAGTTGGGGTGTGCCCAGCCCTCCACAGCCAGGCCCAAGGACACAGGCACACGCTAGGGCCCTTTCCTCAGACCCCTGGCACAGAGTTGTGTCCCCAGGAGCACGAGAACAGTGTGCCAGGGCACAGGGAGCCAGGAGCAGGTGCTGCTCACCATGGCAAGGAAGGGTGCAGCAGGGTCATGGTGGTAAGTGTCCTTGTCCCCCAGCACGAGATAGTGTGCAGCATTGATGATAACACGCTTGAGATTGGTGAGGGAGTGGAGCAGCCTGGGGCACAGGCAGAGTGAGTTACCCAGGACCATCCCCAAATCTGTCCCATCACTCCCCAACACCCTCCACCTCTCCCCAGGAGGGAGAATCCCACACCCGACCATGCTCCCAACCCTGAGCCCACCAGCCCTACTCGGAAACAGGCCGTGAGGGCATCCCGCACGCACCGGACTCCGTAGTCCACAGCCACGGCCTCCTTGGCAGTGCCGGCGATGGCATCGTGGTGCTGGAAGAGGCCCAAGTTGCGGCGGGCGTTGGTCAGCAGGGCATAGTCAGAGAGTGGGTACCTGCCATTGGGCGCCCGCCAGGCTGTACAGGATCTCTGCCCCCCTGCGCAGGGACAGGGTCACTGAGGGTCCCTGCCCTGGTGCCCCAAAGCTGAGGGGGTTGGCCTGTAGGACCAGGGTGGGTACACACTGCACTGGGGCTGGGTGAGGGTTTGGCACTGCCTGGGCTGTGCTGGAGTCACTCCAGCACATTGGTGGCCAGCACAGACTGGGGGGCTGCCACAGCTTCTAGGTGCTGGCCAGACAC